TTGCCGAGGAAGACGGCCCTGGGCTAACATCCGTGCCCATCCTCCTCCACTTTATATGGGACGCCGCCACAGCATGGCTTGCCAAAGCAGTGCGTCGGTGCGCGCCCGGGATCCGAACCAGCGAACCCCGGGCCGCCGCAGCGGAGTGCGCGCACCCAACCGCTTGCGCCACCGGGCCGGCCCCTCTTAATTTTTTTAAGAAACAAATATGGTATAATAGCTGAAAAAAGGTTTTGGAGTAAAACTTAACTATCCGTGTCATCTTGGGTCATTTATATTTTCTTTAGGAACCTGTATTTTCTGAGCTATAAAACGAGGACAATAACACTCCACCTATTGAGTTCTCCTGAGAAGTAAAGGTGGTAACACTTATGGAGCACCTAGCACAATGCCTGGAATAAGTAATACCTGGAATGCCTGGTAGTAAGGCCATAATTATTCGTTTCTTTTTCACATATATTCTTGCAAATGCAGTTTTTGTATCCAGTGTTAGAAATTCAATGGAATTGAAATTTTCTCTCTCCTTATATGGGCAACCCTACCCATTCACCTGTAGCAGATAATCTCACCTTTTACTCTCTAGATGAAGTAGAGACTACTTGGCATGTGCTTTCTCACTTCTCCATTTTTTTCTAATTACAGAATCAACTGCAATTGTACCCATATTTCCTACATTCTCCTGATCTCAGGAGAAACTGAGTTGTATCCAGTCTCTGCTACCTTTGATCTTGATCCTCTCCCCTCACCTCACTCCCAGTTATCTTTTGGAACTTTGCTCCATTAATTTTCACCTCTTTCCTATAACTTTAATCTTCCTCCCTTCAGCCCTCAAACATGTTCAGCCCTGTTCTGTCATAAAACCATACCAATCTGGTCTGGAGACTCTGCCTTCTTAGCTGCTGCTGCTTCTCCTTCCCTTTATGCTAAGTTTATTTAAAGAATGTTCTATACTTGCTACCTCTCCTCATCCTACTCTGACCACTGGAACTGCTCCTCCAGAGGCCATCATTGACTTCCTAATGGCTTAGTCTACTGGCTCTTTTACCATTCTTATTTGATTCAACTTCTTTGTAGTATTTTACACCATTGACCCTTCTGAAAGAGCAGTTATTCTTTATTTTTTACCAAATAATAGTTTACTCTTTCAGAAGGAACTTAAGTAAGCCTACTAATTTAGCCCTGATTAATACTGAGTCCTAGGGCCAGCCCTGGTGGCTTAGTGGTTAAGTTCAGTGTGCTCCGCTTCGGCAGCCCAGGTTCGCGGGTTCAGATCCCAGGTGCAAACTTACACCATTCGTCAGCCATGCTGTGGTGGTGGCTCACATACAAAATAGAGGAAGATTGGCAACAGATGTTAGCTCAGGGCTAATCTTCCTCAGCAAAAAAAAAAGTTGAGTCCTAGTGCTAAAAGATTCTATAAAAAGCATATATGGGAAGCAACATTTGTTGAATGCCAGCTGTGTGCCTGGTACAATCCCAGGTGCTTTCCATAAGTTAATTCTCACATATCACAGCAACCTCGACAGTTAGGTATTGGTCCCAAAATTACAAATGAGGGAGTTGAGGCATGGAAATTTGAAGTTACTTATTATACAGTATGTATTATAGCTGGGACCTGAACATTGATTTGTTTTTATTCCAAAGTCTATGCTTTTTCCATTAGACAGCCAGGTGTGTTATCCTTAGACCTTTTGTTTAACTTGTATATCTGTCTGTGTATAGGTGTGAGAGTTAGCTTGATTGTTATATCAGGGGAAAGACTTACATTAACTCTGATTAGGTGAATAACATGTTTTTGAATATGAAAGCCAGAGTAAGTGGCTTTTAATCTTGGGAATTTCATTAGCTTAAGGTCTACCACTAAAAATTTATTTTAGTTGTTTTTCTTTCTTTTTAAAATAATCCTTCTGTCAACAATGCCATGTTCTCCATCAGGAGATGCTGTACACTGATTTCAGTGATGCTGCTGTGACTCAGCCACCATTTCTGGACTCCTCTCTGGAAATTGACTTTGGAAATGGCATTGCATTTTTTTTTTTTCTTGACTATTTTTTGTCCTTTGAGGGTGAATTAGCATTTTGGAAATGGTCATTTGGTGACTTGATTGGTTGGCCAACCAAGCATCATTGTTTGTACTTAAAAAGCATGACACCTGCTTCTGTGTTTATGTATGTCCCTGTCTGTTATTCCCATTAGACTGTACATGCTTGGGGGACCAAGTCTTGACCAGGTTTACCCAGCTGTCTCATTCTGACTAAGTCCTTGGTGTTAAGTACTTCAGCTCAACTCCATGTACGTTTGTGTTGGCCAAATTAAAAAGTAGACTTGGATGTTATATTGACCTTTTACAGGGGAGACATAGTCCAGAAAATGAATAAACCATCCATGTTTTGGATATATAACCTGAAATGTAGATGCTGATACATTATTAATGAATCCAGGTGCTGACTATGGGATTGTTCACAACAGAGAGAGCCAAAAGCGCCCAGGAACTTAGGCTGAAAATGATTTGTGTGACTTTGCTTTCCATTTTTATCTCTAGGTGTTATCTGTCTTATGGGCTACAGTCTGGTATTGCCAACTGCCTAAAGATTTTTTTTTTCCTATTTAGTCATTAATTAATTAATTGTTAGGTTCCTGCCCTTGAGGTATCTATAATCTCATAAGGAAGACAAACTCGTTAACAACTAAATACAGTACAGTGATTGCTGTGTAATAGAATTTTGTACACAGGATACATAGCATTAGAACCCAGATGAGAGAGTAGTTAATACGTCATCGTCATCTGAAATTCACTATGTCCAAGATTGAACTAGTAATTTCTTAAAACTAAGTCAGTCTTTTGACTTTCCTATTTCTGTCAATGGTATCTTCATTCCTGTGACTCTCCCTTCTCTCTTGCACTCTATATCCAATAAATCAGCAAATCCTATGGATTCTCCCTTTTAAAGTTGTTCTGGCAGATATCCCTTCTGTTTTTCTAGCCACCACTCAAACTGATTCAAGGCTTTACTATTTTAAATCAGATGTACTTTGCTAAAGCAGTGTTTGTATTTGTGTTCTGGTCTGTCAGGTTGAAAGCTCTTGAGGTTTCTTAGATGGCCCCCACACAAAGGCTTTTGGTGTGTCTTTTGATTAAATACCTGTGCAAAGGGCCTAACTTCAGATTTCTGGTTTTTTTCCTCACAGATTTTGTCATTTTCCTAATTTTCATGTCCAGTGTAAAATGGTAGCTATTTTATGTTTGTTTTGATTTTCTTTTGTTAGTCTACTAAATTTTATAAATTTTTTGGATGCAGGGGGATTAAGTTAGGAATACTTTCTTAGTTCACTCATTAAATATCCAGGAAACGTAGAAGAGTGGTTTTAGATGCTATGGGGTAATAGATTCAAAATGTGAATATGTTACCAACCTCCACTTATACAATTTTATCATGAAATAAGAACAAAATAGAATAAAATAGCAAAGGAATAAACACACACATAAAGATTTTAAAATATTTATTTGCTAAGACTAGCAACAGTCTGTTGTAAAATACTTAAAATGGTATTTCTGTTTCTAACTAAGGAGCTAACCAAACCTTCTCCCGAAAACTTCCGTTTATAATAAAAAAACTGTATAAAATATTTTTTAAAATAACAGCTTCTTAAAAGCATTAATAAGGTGACAAGAAGGTAAACGAAATCTCAGAATAGAGAATGAATGAAGGCAGGACCCAGAGGCAAGGAGAGCAGTCTTGCCCTGCAGGAATTGCTTAACCAGGTAAACATGAGCTTTAGACTTGTAGCTTCCAGAGATACGGGAAAGAAGAGAAAGACCCCAGTCTGTCCGAGATGAGAGGTTCAGTAGGGGATCACCCAATAAACCTGGAATCCCAGAGGAATGTACTATAAAGGGGAATGAGAGATAATCTTATTCCTCCCCAGGAAAATCGGCTATGTCCAACCTTGGCACTGATCTGTGTGGGGAAATCACCACTGAGACTCTGAAGCCATAAGCCCTCTCTTAGGTTGTAGCCAGAATTCTCACTACTTGCATGATTTGAAAACCTAAAGCCAATAATTTAATTTAGAGTGATTCCAAGTTGGTGGGGTCCCATAGTGTCTGACAGAAATCATTTCCAGGGGTACTTATCTTTATGAGGTTTGAAGAATGCCCAAAAGTAAAATTCTAAGGGAAATGAACAGCTCAATCCAAACTAACTAAACTCACAGAAACAAGACATTGTGAATAAGAACAGTAGACAGCAGTAACAATCAGAAAGTGGAATTTTCAGTCACAGTCTAAAAAAACTATTTAGTATGTATAAGAAAATAAAAGAAAGGCTAGAAAATACGTGCAAGGAACAAGAAACTAAGATTGGCCCAGCAGATTTGAAAGTTAACCAAATAGAATATCTAGAAATGAGAAGTAAAATAACTAAAATTTAAAAATTGATGCATGATAGTCATAGGAACACTGAATATTAATTTAAGCAAAAATTATAACTCTTAGACGGATGAGAGAAGAAACAGGAAAATATAACAGAGCTAAATTCTCACCCTCTGTAATAGAAGGTAAATAATGTCTAAAATTGATGAATCAAAAGATAGCAGGATATTTTTTAATTACATGGAGATGTGTAAATTCCAAAAGAAACAGCTAGAAGAACTTAAAATAATTGCCTCTGGGGAGGAAGATTCAGTAAAATGGAGAGTGGGCAGGAACTACTATATTTTGTCACTTATATTACATGACTTTTAAACTATGTGCGTGCTTTGCTTTGACGAAATAAAAATTTTAAACTAAAAAATTTAATGCATGGCTGTGAATTGATAATTGTTGAAGCTGAGTGATGGGTTCAAATTTAAGCACAGGTTTATCAACATATTAGGCACTGAAGATAGAATTAGTGTGCTAAAAGATAACTGACCCCTGATTCTCATTTGCAATGACTGTAGTCAGAAAACAGTGGAATGTTTTCTTCATTTTGCTGAGAGAAAATAAACTTTCTACCTAGAATGCCACATCCAATGAAAATCTTGATAGGTGAAGTAGAGACATTTTCAGATCATCAAAAACAGCTTGCCACTAGCAAGATCCTCACTAGAAGAAATTTTGAAGGATGTTCTTTGTGCAGAACGTAAATGATCCCAGATGGAAGGAAGGAAGAATAGAGAAAGGGGTAAATATTGCATGTGGCTAAATCTAAACAAACATTAACTATCAAATAATAAAACAAATTAACCCAGTGTTTTGTGGACATTAAAAAGAAATAAGAGAAATTAGAATTAAAATACAAAATAACAGTAGCATGAAGGTGGGTGGGAGTGAATGGAATTAAATTTATATTGTTTGGGAGAAGGATAAACATACTGAATATTTTTAGAATTGGTAAGTCAGGAATGTATGTTGTAATTACTAGATAGCTTGTAAAAGAATGGAAACTATACATATAACTTCCAGAGGTAAAAAGTTAATTAGAAAAAAATTCTAGTCAGATAAGAAAGCAGAAAAGGGCAGAAAAAGCAACATAGAGCATGTATGACAGCACAAAATAAGATGGCAGCTGTAAGTCCAAATAAATGTTAATGAACTAAATGCTTCAGTTAAAAGAGAATGCACTAGATTGGTTTTAAAAAGAGGAAAATGCTATTTGTAAAAGATATGCCTAAAAGAAAAGGATACAGAAAGTTTGAAAGTAAAAATGTGAGAAAAGACATACCAGACAAATACTAACCAAAAGAAAACTGATAAAACTATTAACATCAGACAAAATAGACTTTATAGTAATGTCATTACTAGAGATCAAGAGGATGGCATCATAGAGAAAAAAACACTCAGTATGTCAAGAAAATAAAGCGATTTTAAGTTTGTGTTCATCTAATAACATCGTTTCAAAATGTTTAGGGCCGGCCCTGTGGCTTAGCGGTTAAGTGCGCGCGCTCTGCTACTGGCAGCCCGGGTTCGGATCCCGGGCGCGCACCGACGCACTGCTTCTCCAGCCATGCTGAGGCTGCGTCCCACATACAGCAACTAGAAGGATGTGCAACTATGACATACAACTATCTACTGGGGCTTTGGGGGAAAAATAAATAAATAAAATTATTAAAAACAAACAAACAAACAAAATGTTTAAAGCAAAAAATTAATACTTTAAAAAGAAATACACCAATCCATCATCAAAGTGGAAGATTTTAATACATCTCTCAGTAATTGATAGAACAAGTAAGTGGAGGGGACGGAGACAACAAAAATGTAAAGGATTGAATAATATATTTAACAAACTTGACCTAATAGGCGTACATAGAACATTGTACCCAAGGACTGCAAAATACACATTCTTTTCAAGCCAAACATGGAAAAGTTATCAAAACTGACCATTTACTGAGCTGTAAAGCAAAACTTAAATTTTGAAAGTTTTGAAATGGTACAGAATGAATTCTTGAAATACAGTGCAATACAGCTAGTAACCAATAACAAAAAGGCTAACTTTAAAAAAAATATATATGTTTGGAAATCAAACTCATTTCTAAGTGATCTGTGGGTTAAAGAAGAAATCATAATAGAAATAAGAAGATATTTAGAACTAAGTGATAGCACAGATAGTGCATATTAAAACTTGTAGGTACACTGAAAACTACAAGTCATCATTGAAAAAAATTAAGACCTGAATAAGTGGAAAGACATCCCGTGTTCATGGACTGGAAGACAATATTGTTAAGATGGCAGTACTCGCTGAAAGGATCTACAGATTCAGTGCAATCTCTATCACAATTCCAGTTTTATTTTTTGCAGTAATTATTAAGCTGATCCTAAAATTCAATTGAAAACGTGAAGGATCTATACTAGCCAAAACAATTTTGAAAAAGAAGAACAAAGTTGAGGATTTATACTTCCCAATTTCAAAACTTAGTACAGAGCTACAGTAATCAAGAGAGTGTGGTTCTGGCATAAGGATAGAGAGATCAATGGAATAGAATTGAGAGTCCAAAAAATTAACCTTCAAATTTGTGTTCAGTTGATTTTTGTCAAGGATGCCAAGACACATCAATGGGGAAAGAATAGTCTCTTCAGTAAATGGTGCAGGGACAACTGGATGTCTACAAGCAAAATAATGAAGCTGAACCCCTGCTTCACACCATACACAAAAATTAACTCAAAATGAACCGCAGACCTAAATGTAAGAGCTAAAACTACAAAACTCTTAGATGAAAGCATAGGCATAAGTCTTCATGACCTTATAGATAAGACACCAAAAGCACAAGTAATAAAAGAAAATATACGTAAATTGGACTTCATCCAAATTAAAAACTTATTGTGCTTCAAAGATACTCTCAAGAAAGTGAAGGGGGGCCGGCCTGGTGGCGTAGCGGTTAAGTGTGCATTCTCTGCTGCTGGTGGCCCGGGTTTGGATCCCGGGCGCGCACTGATGCATCGTTTGTCAGGCCATGCTGTGGCGGCATCCCACATAAAGTGGAGGAAGATGGGCATGGATGTTAGTTCAGGGCCAGTCTTCCTCAGCAAAAAGAGGAGGATTGGCATGGATGTTAGCTCAGGGCTGATGTTCCTCACAAAAAAAAAACAAAGAAAGTGAAGAGAAAAAAATTTTTTTGAAAAAATGTGAAGACAACAGCATAGGAGAACATATCTGTAAATCATGTATCTGATAAGAGTCTAGTATCCAGAATATATAAAGAATGCTTACAACTTAATAATAGAAAGCAAATACCCCAATTAAAAAATGGACAAAGGATTTGAATAGACATTCCTCCAACAAAGATATGCAAGTAGCCGATAAATACTTGAAAAGATGCTTCACATCATTAGTTATCAGGGAAATACAAATCAAAACCACAGTGGGATACCATGTCACACCTACTAGAATGGCTTAAATCAAAAGGACAGGTAAGTGTTGCAAGGATATGGGTAAATTGGAAACCTCATATTTTGCTGGTGGGAATATAAAATTGTGCAGCCACTGTGGAAAACAGTTAGGTAGTTCCTCAAATGTGAAACATAGAGTTACCATATGACCCAGCAATTCCACTCCTAGAGAATTGAAAACATATCCATGCAAAAACTTGTACACGAATGTTCATAGCAGCATTATTCATAAAGCCAAAAACTGGAAACAACCCAAGTCCATCAATTGATGAATGGATAAAGAAAATGTAATGTATCCATACAATAGAATATTTTCAACCATAATACAGAATAAAGTTCTGGTTCTACAACATGGATGAGCCTTGAAAAAGTTGCAGAAGATCATGTATTATTTGATTCCATTTATATGAAATGTCCAGAATTGGCATAATAGAGACAAAATAAATTAGTGGTTGTCAGGGTGTGGGAGAAGGAGAGGATAGAGAGTGACTGCTAATGGGTACAGGTTTCCTTTTGGGGTGATAAAAATGTTCTAGAGTTAGATAGTGGTGATTGTTGTACAACTTTGTGAATATATTAAAAACCACTGAGTTGTAAAGAAAAGAAAAACTTGTCAGATATAGCTAAAATACCTAGAGAGAAATGAAATGCCTTTGAGTCAAGTTTGGAAAAGAAGAGAGACTTAAAATTAATGAGCTAATCATCTATCTCAAAAAGTTAGATAAGAATATCAAAATAAACCCAAAGAAAGGAAAAGGAAGGTAATAAAGATAAGAAGAAATTAATGAAATAAAAAATAAAAGCACAATGTCCTGGCATGTAGTATGTTTTCAGTAATTGTTGAGAATGAAATTTTGATTATGAAAATAAAACAATATGTAATCACATATTATTGGTAAAATAATGATCCCACCTTCTCTTAACAAATAAACAAAAATCTGTTAAGTCATGGTACAATCGTTGTTGTCTTTAAGGTGAGGAAATATGCTATATTCCAATGACTTCCAAATCTACGTTTCTATCCCAGAATTTTTGGAACTACAGACCAGTATCTGGCTACCTGCTGGACATCTTCAAGTAGAAGTCTTTGAGACACTTAAAATTCAGCTAATTCAAAGCCAAAATCAATATTTCTTGCCCCCAAATTGCTCGTCCTGCAGTGTTTACCATCTCAGTTAATAACAACACTGTCTGCCTGGTTCTTGAAGCCAGAAACCTGGAAGTCATCCTTGAAGTTCCCCTTCTTCCCCTCCACATGTCTCAGTCAGTCACTGGAATGGTCCTTAATATACTTAGCAAAAGCCTTTGACTTGACCCCTGCGTACTCCTAGAAGCTTTCCTTCTATTCTTGATTTTGCTCTCTGTATTCTGACAATAATAGCCTTTGAATTTCCAGATGTTCGCTCACTTCCAGGCTTGCATTTATTTTCCCTTTCAGCATCGTATTAGATGTTCTTTATCAACTATCTGGTATCCCTGTCATAAAAAAACAAGCCTCTAATAAATGGTTCCCTCTAAGATGTTAATTATAGGCATTCTTCTTAGAGTTCTTTGCCTTTTAAAGAGTTTCCTGGGAGGACAGTGGCCACCCAAAGGTAATGTGATGTTTTTAACTGCTTATGTCAATCTGGGATGATAACATCTGTAGGGGAGGAAGAACTATTCCTCTACCCTCTAGGTTATTCTTGCTGGTCTAAGAATTAAATTGACATGAGACAGAATAACAGGAGAAAATCAAAGTTTAATAACATGTATGTGTGGGAGAAACCCAGGAAGACTAAGTAACTTGCCGAAATGTCCAAAGCCACACCTTAAATATCTTTAGCTAAAGACAAAGGAGGATGTTGGGGGTAGTGGTTTGGAACCTGAAAGAGGAAGAAGGCAATTCACAGGGAGATGGAAAAGCAAATGTTTGGTAACAGATGTTTGCCATACCTTGCAAAGACAATGGGACATGGGGAGGGCTTTGATCAAATGGGCCTTGCTAGGTTTCCTCCCTGTCTACCACACCTAGTTCATATTATACTATAGTTATCTATGGTGAGAGCTCCTTCCTGGAACAGGCCTTCTGTCTTAAATTCTTTTAGGCAGTTGGGGGAAAGTCAAAGTTTCTTCCTGAGTCTTTTGTTCTTAAAAATAATCAAGCCAAAGAGACACATTTTGGGGTAGTAAATTCTGATCCCCCACACATCGCCGAAAGGAATATTAGAAGTGATGTGTTAAATAATAATAAAGTTTGTTAATAATGTACTATTT